AATAAATATACATTATATTTACTATTCAAGTATGTTTATAATTAATACTATATAAATTATGTTAATTCATCTTTATATAATTAAAAATTATTACACAAAAATTTTCTCTCAGTTTTAATTATGCTCACAAAATTAATTTTAATAATAATCAAATATTAAAAAAAAAAAAACATTAGGAACAATAATACTACTACCATTTGTATTAGTATTATTCTACCAAGAAAATTACATTATTACATTCCACGTCACCCAACCCGCTCACGGGTTACACAACATAAACCATACCAACCTCTAGCAGAGACACAGGTGGAACCTTGAGTGCTACATCTGGGCCACGGCAATTCCTTCTCAAGAAATTATACCCAAAATTAATGGCCAATCTCCTCAGGAGAGATGACCCTTGTTTTGCTCTAACATGGGAATGCCCAAGTATGAATGCCGTCCCAGCCTGCTGAGCAGCTAATAGATCTTCTACTTCTTCTTGCAACTGCACATGGACATCCCTCTCTACCTCATCTGTTTCAGACTCATCATCAATGGCAAATCTCACTCTTCTTCTTTCAGCCACGCCCATCTCAATAACATCATTCACACTCTCTACTGTTGACAATCCAGCAGATACACTTGCCACTTCAACAGTCTCCTCCATCTCATATGCCATTGTAGTCCCAATCACTGCAAATCTACATTCACTCGACTCATTAGAGCCACAAGCTTCCTCATCCATGCAAGAACTTGTATGCCGTGCTGTTTGATACCAATCATAACGTATGAAATCAGCCAGCTTCTTAACTAGTTCAGCTTCAAAAGAATCAACATCCTGGTGTACGTCACGGTATCCATAACGCACAATGCACCTGTAGGAACGATGAGCAGCAGGTCCCACACGGCCAACAAGGTAACGTTCGGCAAGGGGAACATGAGGGACAGGTACCGATTTAACACACACAAAAACAAGAACACGGTGAAAAGCAGGGAGGTTAGTGACAAAGCGAGAGAAATTAGCAGGGATGCCTGAGGTGAGATCAGTGAAAACCAACCCAATACCAGGCACTCTAGCAATTCCTAAGCTTGGTCCCAAGGCTAAAAGCCATTCTAATGATACCTTGTTGTGGAGATCATATTCATATTTCTTATTAGTGGCATAATGCCAAACAAACATGATGGTCATGAGGAAAAGGGCAAGCAGAATAGGAAGCCAGGCACCTTCTCTGAACTTGGTGAGTGAAGCTGAAAAGTAAAGCAATTCAACTGATCCGAAGAAAAACAGAAAGCAAAGGGCGACTATAGGGGGCTTGTGCCAACAAAGGATAATAACCATGGAAGTGAGGCATGTCGTTACCAACATCACTGTCATCACAGCTAACCCTGCAACACAAAAACAGAATACATAGGCAAATTGGATTATCTTTCAAGGAATAACAAGACTGACATAATTGTATGAATAGATAAACTTATCTATTTGATGGTAGTTGGAAGTAATGATCTGGAAGCAAAAACAAGTAGACCCTACCTGATGCATTTCCCATGTGTTTTACATCTCTAAATCCGACTGTCACTGCAATGCATAGTATCATAAGCATCCAATTGATCTCAGGGATATAAATCTGGCCATGTATCTCCTCAGAGGTGTGAATAACCTTGACTCTGGGAAAACAGCCAAGGGATTGACTCTGGTTTATGATCGAGAATGTTCCACTAATGATTGCTTGGCTTCCAACAACAGAAGCAAGAATGGCAATGATAAGCACTGGCCACCTTACATTTTCTGTACAGGAAAAGTTTTAAGCATTCATGATTCATACAGATTTGTTTTCTAACATAGAGTTCTAATCCATTTTAAACTGAATCTACATTTTTATCAACATGGGAAGGATCCTACCAATTGTACTTGATTTTGAAAAATAACAATGAGATATACCTGGCACTGACACATAGAAACTGATCTCGTAACTTGTATGGTGATGCCGTGACAAGTAAGCTGCTTGCCCCATGTAAGCCAATATAAGTGCTGGATAAACCAGAAAAGTGAAAGCAATCTGCAACAGCAATGGATTAGTAGTTCACTTTTGTTGGCAGTTTTGACTATTGTGTCCTGTAATTGGATTGTTACCAAAGAAAAATGGAAGAAATAAGTTAGAATTACCTGAATTGCAGCATAGGAGAAGTGACCAAGATCAGCAAACATTGCCTCTGAGCCTGCATTTTAGGAGAAGAAGCTTACAGATGGTGTCGAATTGTTTCTGTCCATTGCAACAAAATGAAAGTGGACAGAGTCCACCATTCTTGTTTTACAAAAGCTCATATCAGATTAAGTAATGATGATAGCCAATTGTATCAACAAAAAATCAATCCATCAAAGAAATATGGCATCCTTCCCCAGTATTTTGTGAGCATAAAACTTCAAAATTTGGATCATGTTTGAAAAATTGGACTGGTGAACCCCTCAAGAAAACACATTCTTCTGTACTAATTAAGAATTGGCCTATGTATATAAGTCAATCTGGATTGATGGTGTTATCCCAATTGCAATATGCAAGCAAGTTACGCTTTGTTTCCCAGACTCACCTGTTATACACAGAAGTATTCCTCCTAAAGACATCCACCCACCTTTCCGTGTCTTCTTCAAAAACTTGAACATGTAATATGGAGAAAGAGCTTGATAGACATGTGGGTTCCAGTGCATTATGTTATACAAGCCCAGGCCACTGATGCACAGTAGCCATGTCAACACTACAGGTGCAAACAAAAATCCCACCCGATGTGTGCCATAGTGTTGAAGTGCAAAAAGACACACCAAGACAAAGCAAGTTATTGGAATCACTGCATCTGCAAATGATGGCATAGAATTTAAATGGAAAAGTGCATGAGAATAAAGTTTGTGTGGAGAAAGAAACAAATGATTTAAGCAAGGATTGCAATTAACGAATATAATTTCAGAGTTTGACTAACTGCAGAGCCAGGTGATGCAGACGGAATATTAAAAGGTTTAGCCTGTGATAAAAGGTGGCATTGGATAACTTAGAGATAAAAGGAGCTTACACTGATGGTGGTCTGCAGACATAGATAACTCAAGGCCAGAGACTGCAGAGAAAACTATAAAAGGGGGAAAAAAACTATTAGTCACTAAACATGGGCAGCTCAAGAACAGTTTGGGAGGAAATAAAGCTAGTTTTTGGCTATTGTCAACTTTACCAGAAATAGCTGGAGTAAGAAGTCCATCTCCAATGACCATACATGTGCCCAAAAGAACCAGGATTAGCAAAGCAGTGTGCAAGACCTTTTGTTTCTCAAGGTACATTTTTACTCTTGAGCTGTTCTTCTTCTCTGGAGGGTGCTCCAGCTTATATGTAGAGAGGGCTTCATCAGCAACCTGTCTGTTGGGAATAAGGCTAACTTTTGCATGGCGGCATATCAAAGAATACAAAGCAAAAGTACCTCCTACGAAATCAAGCATCAAGTGTTTCAATTTCATGCCAAAACAGTATGTAAACATTTCAGAACCATTTCTGATACTTACCCTCTCCGTTATCATCAGCTCTAAGGACAACAAAAACATACTTGAATAAGGGGATTAAAGTGATGGTCCAGAAGACGAAGGACAGAACACCATAAATCTCTTCATTTGTATCTGAATGTTGAATGTCATCAGCAAAGGTGCTTTTATAAACATAGAGAGGGGAAGTACTCAAGTCGCCATAGACTACCCCAAGGCTTTGATATGCTAAAAGAAATAATGTCTTCCAAGAATCCTTCTGCAATTTGTTTAAAAAATAAACAGCACTTCAGAGTCCAGATTTGTTACAATAACAGATGCCCTATAGTCTTGTTTTTAAACGGCATAATCCTTGCAGTGACTTAAACTCGCAAGGGAAGTTGTGGCCAAACACATTTGGAAGCAAAGATGCATAAAATTAAGCTGAAAGGTATCTATATGCACAGACCTTCGAGGTATCCCTATGCTTCCCACACTCAAGATCCATGGTTACCTTGACAGAAAATTCTTTCTAGTGAACACAATAAGCTGCAGATCGGGCGTGAAACAAATAAAGTGCTGATTTTGAGCAGCTCCCTCTAATATAATGAACAACAGAATCTGAAAAAAGAAAAACTTCCAGGACATTCATAGGCATACCTACTTTACACCCACAAAAATAGGAGATGGTAGTAAAAGCAGATCACATTCAACCACATGCCATCCATACCTGATTCCTATCACAACCAAACTTTCAGATATCTGAAAACATCTCTTCCTAAAATTTCATAATCAGAAAGCGAACACAAATGCAAGTGCCTGCTCAAATAGCTACAATTAAATAATGGAGCCTCAAAATTGTGGAAAGCTGGACTAGACCTGAATTATGCAGATAGACCCCATAAACGCAGAAGGGCGCCTCGTTTATTTGCTCAGTAGTCTCACCCTTATTATTATTATCATGATTATTATTATTAGCTTCTGGTTTATGCAAAAGGAAAAGAAATGGACATCTCACCTTTTCTTGGTATCTAATCAAGCACAAAACGTTAGAATAACCCACAGACAAGATAAGTAAGAAAGGAGTTGAGAACAAGAGCCATTAAATTAATGCAGCATGGATACGAACATAAAGAAACTCTTTTGGTGGCAAACACGTCTTACATTTGCAAAACTGTATCACACCAACCGCAAGAGCAATTGCCCGCTGATTTTAGGGATAATTTTCATTCCCACTTCCTCTTTCCAATTTCTCACCTAACTAATTGAAGTAAGCGTTTCCTTTATTTGTAGAAACTGTACTTGACAGTTACAGGAAAAGTAAAGTTGCTATTTTTATGGAAATTAAATTAACCAGTGGAAAGTCAGGGAAGGAAATGCGAAAAGGAAAGAAAATCAATGCTTGATTAAGAACCTCTACCCAAAAGCCTTTTTTTTTTTTTTTTTTTTGCCTATGCCCAGAAATTCAAAACTTCTAGAAATTAAGATGAATGAATTCTAAGCAGATTAAGCAAATTGAATGTGATTCAGAAAAAGCCCCACCAGAGCAGAACATGCTCCTTTTCGGTTTTCAAATGGAAATGCACTACCCACTCCAGCAGCTCATCACTTTTTCCAGTTTTCATGGGGTTCTTCTTTAGACCCATTTTGTCATTTTTCAACATTTTATTTTTAGGCATACAGCTTTTTAATTGCATCATCTCTAATCATGTTACTGGGTTAAGCTATAAGACAATCAATAACCCTCCATTTTTGATCCATTAAAACTAAACAGAAACACTTAGAAAAATAAATAAACAGAAATACATTACTGATGCTTAACCTCAAACTTACATTGGACTGCTCCGAAGTTGTGCGTCAGCAAATTAAAGATTGAGTATGAGTTTTTCTCTCAAAGAAGCTGATTTTTATAAACTTGTAATTAACTTTCATGTGAAAGGATTTGATATTGCTAACTAAAGGGGATGGTGTTTTTTAGGATTGAAGACAGAAAGCAATGGCGGTGTTGGATGGAGTTGAGTTGATGGGTAAATGAATTCAGCAAAAGCTGCTAAAGTGTGTGTACTACCAACCGACAATACCGAATGTTTCACTCGCTTCCAGTGGTGGAGTGAATAAGGGTTATACAAACAAAACAGAGAACGTGGCAAGCTATGAATATATATTTGATTCTCTGAAAGAAAGATCACGGATTTTCAGAATTTCACATGATCAGGGAATCCATTCAACACCCATCTAAGACCATTAAAGCCTGTTCTTTCTTTTCTTACTATTATTGTTCATTCAGATACAGCGATAAGCACGGAGGAACCTAAGGGGCAAGGTTTGATATTTACTTAATCCAGTGGTAAGTCCAGGGATTAAAAAAAATTACTTTGTTCAAATGCAAAAGTCGATTTCGAAAGCCATTTTAAGATTGTTACAAAGTTGATTCGAACGCCCTGAACTGGAAAAGAAGGAACTACAGGTACAAGCTGGTGCTCTGTGGATGGCGGTCCTTTTTTGACTCCATGGAAAAGGTGTATAGTACATTTGAAAAGGAAACAAGCTGATTCAGCAGTTTTACATCATGAATTTATCCATTGTTAGGAACAGCCATTGATGGCTTTGATAATTGTCAGCATCCCAGGACCCATACTTTCATTAGCTATGGACCAACAATTTGGAGCTTACCCACAAGCAATGCAACATCTGTTCTAGAATTTAGATGGTGACAAATCATAAGCTTCTGTGTCTGTCAGTTGACAAATCAACTTATCAACATGTTTACTCTCTCTCTCTCTCTCTAGCGTGGACCAACCCAAAAGCTTGTGCTAATTAAGATTATAATTACAGACCTCCCCCAAAATAGAGAACTGGTGGGAGTGGCAATTTATTTACCCTAAATCCTTTATTTACACACTATATATATGTATATTTTATTAACACCATTAATAATTTTTATTTTTGATTAACATTTTTTATAATTTAAAATTATAAAAAAATCTAAAAATTAAAGATCAAATCCCATATTTACATCTTGATTTTATTATTAATTTAATTTTTTTTTTAATATTTCAAGTTATAAAAAATATTAATTATATTGAAAAAGTGAAAATTATAATGTCTTTATCTCAAGGTGCATTGATTTTCTGGATTCTAAAATTAAAAACATAAATTATAAAAATTATTAACTATAAAAAAATAATGTACAATATACAATAAAGGGTTTGGGCATTTATGTAGGCACAGCTAGGCTGCTAGTTAAGTGCTAATTAATTAAGTTAGTCTTCTTCCTCACATAAAAAATAAAAAAATAAAAAGAAAGAGCCTAACCACCTAGCTAGCTTGTATAATTCAACCTGAAATTTCTAGAATATAGATATTCCTCCACTTTCTTTTCACTTGTTCTCATTTCTCAATCTCATATAAATTAATTTGATAGTTTTATATAATAAATAAATAATAATTAAATTTTTTTTATTTAATTAAAAATACTTAACAAAAATTATGTATAATATAAAATAAATTTAATTATTATCTATTTATTATATAAAATTACCTGAGAAGACTAAATTAGGAAAAGGAGTATATGATTTTTTTCCTCTTTGTCAATTAGTCGTTAAAACCAAGCAACCAAATATTATTAGCCAGTGCATTTCCTTTGTCTGAAAGGAAAATCCAGCAACTTGTTACTACGCACTATACATATATATATATAATTTCTGGCTAATTCAACTCAATCACATATTTTTATTCATTGATTATATAAATTAATGGTTTTTTTTTTTTATATTTACAATAGATTTAGTACTTTACCTTTCAGGATAATATATATTAGAGTTCGAAAGGGAAAAAAAACCAAGTATATTAATTTATATATGTATCAACATAGAACACATACATGATTGAGATTTCAGAGGAAGACAATAAAGGGAATTAAAAAAGAAAAGAAAATGAAAAAAAATAAAATAAAATATTTATGTTCAGGAAGCTGCATAAAAATAGACATGGGAAGATATATATGTACTGGCAACATATGTATAAGACAGCAAAAGGAGTGTGAGATCAGTGACCAACTCCTGGGCTTGGAACATCACCTTGCCTTCTATAGAAACCGTTGTTGTTATCATTATAATCATCACGGCCGCCTTCATCTTGTGATCTCGTGGAATAGTGGCCTCCCATTGCATAAAGCTTTCTTGTCGCGGTGGCTGTGGCTGTGGCTGTGGCTGTTAGTTTGATATGGCATGGAGGGCTGCTGCAACTCCTGCTAAATACGGTGGCCACCTTGCACTGAAACAGCAGAAGAATGATTATTATAAGCAGCATAAAACTAGCCTTCTGCTCTCTCTTTGCCATTTCAGAAAAAAGCTGGTTACTTTTGGATTGTGGAGAAACAATATCTCTTGAAGGGTCCGGGGGATTGAATTAGCCTTTACCAATCTATGTTTATTTATAAGGCACGCAGGCACTATCTTAATTTGTGTCATCATTTTTTAAAAAGTAAAAAATAAAAACATAGATGAGGATGAATTATAGAAAAGTTTCACCTATCACATTTCTATAAAATTTTAATTTTTTTTAATAGTTTAAATTTATTATAATTTTTTAATAACAAATAATTATTTTTAACAAATATAATAAAAAATTAATAAATTTTAATTATTAAATATAAAAAAATAAATAATTTAAACTTTATGTTAATATAATATATAAAATTTATGTATAAATAAATCATACTTAACATAAATTATGCATATATATTTTAGATTCACCAATAATGTAGGGCCAGAAGCAGACCACAGAATTGATAAAGCATGCATGATAACAAAGATTAGACTTTTTCGTTCTTGCTTTTGGAAATAAGCAGCATTCATTATAATTACTCGCTCTCTTTGTTTGACTACAATTTTAATAAAAAAAATATTAAATTAGAATTAAGAAAATGAAGTCGTCCATGCATCATGATGAACACAAAAAACAATTAGAATACAAACAAACCAGTCCAGTGGAAAGAATTAATTACTTTTGAGAAATGGGATAAGATTAGAGTTGATTAATTTAAAAGACATAGTGTGTGAGAGAGAGAGACAGAGCTGTTAATTATAAACATTAGATTTTGTCTTCTCACCTTTTTTTCTTGTAATTAATTAATATCTAGTCTTGTTGGTGCACTTTCGGTTAAAATAAATAATTAAGGAGGTGCTTTTCCCTTGCAATTTCATCTTCATCTGTTCCCAACAATCGAGAGTTGGTACACGTAGCTAATTAGATTCTGGTGGAGAAATGAGAATATGCTTTATTTAGAAGCGTCCAATTAAATTGTAGCTATATATATAAAAAGAGAAACCTATTTACATACAAATTTTAGGAGAAATTACATTTAATATATTTGTAATTTAAAATGAGTGTATTTAAAGGCTTATAATATTAAAAGATATACTTCAAGACTTATGTTTTAAAATAAGAGTAATAAGACACTTTTATAGTTAAAAACCAAACAAAAAATTTCACTTTTTATCTTAATTCCTCTAATCGCCTATAGGTCTAACACCATTATCTTACCCAGTACTACAAGTTGAATTGTAGTTTGTTTGACTCGTTAAAACCACTTACAGTCTCATCATTTGTTGACAACTCATTACCATTCATTTATCAAAATACATTAAAAAAATGATAATAATTAATTAATTCATTCATTTTAACTAACCACATTTAAACCACTTGTGTAATTCAATTGAAAAAAGAATTTGCATACATATAAAATATTCATAATTAACATGTACTGTTGAAATTAATTAAAACTAAATATGCATAAAATCAAGAATATATTATTTATAACTGTAGATGACCAAGGTAAAATCTTTTAATTTTCAAATGAAATCCTTACTTTTTAAATCATAAACAAGCAATAAAATTTTCAACCGAACACAAAAAGGTCTAGAAAAGAAAATTAGAAACAAAGTTCACTTTGGAATATAAATTACAATAGATTAAAAGATTTTGTTCAATTACGTACAGAAAGTTATTTTATTTGGTTTTCATCTTTATTTGAGTTGATCTTTGAAGATTGTTATGAAAAAGAATTTGTGTGACAGTTGAGTTTTTTCTCTCTTTTTTTTTTTTTTTATGTCAAGGATGTTTAAGATATTGCATATAATTTGAACATCATTTGGATAGCAAGAGTGGTTTAGTGCTAAGGTTCAAAACTAGACCTAGCAAATGGGAGGGTTGGGTTGGGTTTGGGTCGGGTCAAAATAGGTCACGAGTCAATGAAGACTAACCCTATTCCGCCCATCACGGGTCACGGGTTGACCCAATTGATTTTTTTTCCTTTTTTTGTCTATAATTTGTACCTATTATCATCTAAAGAAAATTATTCAAAAGATTAAAAAATGTAATTCAACATCTTATAAAGAGATTTTTCCCCCCATTAATCTAATAAAACATATTTACAGTTCCTCAAAATCATCTTTTCCACTTTCCTTCAAAGAACAACGCTAAGACCACACACCTATTTTTGCTAAGACAATCAATTAGCTAATTAAGGAAAATTAGTCAATTATTAGAGGTTTAGGTGGGATTGGGAATTGGAAAACAAAATAAATAAATAATAAATTAAAAAAATTTTAATTTTTAAATGGGTAAATAAGTCAAACTCGTTAATCTAATGGGTCAATCCATTATTGACTCGTGACCTCTCGCATGGGTTATTAATGAATTACGGGTCATAAATATCTTACCTTAATCCATTTTAAAATGGGTGGGTTAGCGGGTTAGGTAAAAAATTGCTAAGTCTACTCAAAACACGAGTCTTTAAGTGCATATTTCAATTCTACAAGTCTTTAAATGCACTCATCTTAAACTACAAATATGTTATATATAATTTTCCCTAAATTTCATACATCATACATACATAAAATACTGATAATTTAATTGTTTATTTTCTATGCTTAAAATTCATTCACTTTTTTATCACATTTATTTTTAAAAAATTATAATAAATCTCAATTATTATAAACAAATAATGAATAATTGAGATTCTATGTATGTATAATGTATAAGATTTTTATGTAAATAAATCCTCACTCATATATATATATATATGAATTTTTCTAATATATACCATAAAGGCACAAGTTAAAGGCACCCTTTTATTATTAATACATGTAGAAAAATATAAAAATTGACATTAATTTTATTATTGATGCTAAGTAGATGAATTTAATTGAATAGTTAAAAATTAAAAGTCAATTTTTGTTTTTTTAACATAAATTTATAATAAAGAATGAATTTATTATATTATTAGGGCACAAATTAAAAAAAATCATATATATAATAATGTATGTTAATAGTATAATTATTGTACATTTTTTTATTAATTAACATTAAAAAAATAAAAATTAACTTGTTTTTTAAACAATTGCTCAATTCAAATGATATGTGTTACACTTATGGTAAAATTAAATTAATAACAACTTTTATATAAGGCATAGCTTAAAAAAAACCCCTCATATAATTCAAATTTCAAAAGAGTAAAAGACTTAATATTAATTATATGAATGGCTTTTGCGGAATTGGGGTTGCCTTTTGCAATTTGCATAAAGGTAAGTGATAGTAATCTCCATGCAAGAATGACCAACGTCATCATGAGCTGAAGATTTCATGGCAATGGCATGTTATTATGTTATATATATCTTCAAAATATCTAATTAAATTCCACAACAAACAAGTATATTTTTCTTGCCTGCAACCATAATTAATTTGTCTCCTCACACTCAAATACTATCATTCCAAGTTTTCTCAAATCATCTTAACTCTTGATACACTTTCTTTGCTTACCAAAAAACCAAAAAAAAAAAGGGTGTTTTCCCTAGCTACAAGTTGCAACTATAATTTTTTCTAAAACAGTAATATAAGGATAATTTTTTTATATCATTTTTTATATAATTTTTATAAATTATTAAATAAGTAATTACATTAAATATTATAAATTTTAAATATATAAAAAATTAATTATTTAAATAATAAATAAAATAATATAAAAATATTATCTTGAAATCATTTTCCTTTCCTCCGTTACATTTTTACATTAATGGGGAGTAACGACATCTCAAGGGCTCAAACGCTAGCTCTCACTCTGACTTTCTCCACCTCTGGGTTCTATAGCCCGGCGGTTGGGGTTTTGTGCTGCTTTTGTTACTGCAAGTGCACCCTGCACAGCACAGCAGTTGTCCAAGGCTCAAACTTAAAAAGGCCCGGTGAATTTGGATTCAAATTCTATTTTTTTATTTGAGCCCTCGGTATCCAACTACCGGCCCATAAAAGTTCATCAAACTTCAAACATTAAATATGAAGGGCCCGTTTGGGTTTAATAGGTTTTTTGGAAAATTTTTCACTAAGAAAATAATTGGGTAAGATCATATTTTTAATATTTGAATAATCAACTTATAATTAAATATATCATTTGATCAATCAATCACTAATGTAATTAAATTCTTAATTCC